GGTCGAGTCTAAGGGGAACAAAGCGGCCCTGCTGTCCGTTTGAGCGTAGCTGAGCCGTCCTGCTGTTCCTTCCACAGTACACCTGACCTCGCTGTGCGGCTGAGCTGCTCCACCCACGTCCAGTGGCTATATATCACTGTCGCTGGAGCCAGACGACCCCCACGCCAAGGCTCTGTCAGAAACAGTTTGACCATGACCGTCCATATCACTTCTCTGACTCTCCTATTCATACTACTCTCTTCTCTGGCTTATGTCTGGTATCGCGGACGGATCAGATCATCCAAGCTGCCTCCTGGACCACGACCTCTGCCCCTCATAGGCAACGTGCACCAACTACCCCTCAAAGATCAGCACAAGACCTTCGCTGAATGGGGGAGAGAATATGGTTGGTTCTTTTGTTGGATCAACGAGGAGGTTCGCTCACACTGTTTATGTAGGCGATCTGATCTATCTGCGAATTTTCGCGACGCCGGTGTTGGTCGTACATTCGCTATCCGCTGCTCGCGAACTGTTAGAGGGCAAGAATTCCGTCACTTCAGACAGACCTCATATGGTCTTCGTAAGAGAGTTGTAAGTTCCAAACCATGAATCTTGCCAATTGGAGGTCGGAGTGCTGACTGCTGATTGCCGACAGTCTTGGTTATGACTCATGTTTCCCGTTCATCCCTTACGGAGAGACATGGCGCCAACAGAGGAAATGGGTACACACTGCCCTCGAGACGAAAGAGTCCTTGGCTAGTTACAGTCGAAGTCAACGACGCGCGGTGCATGCCTTACTCTCTGACCTTTTGGACAAACCTGAGCGATACCCGCAACCATATATTAAACGGTAGGATGATCTTCACTCTATAGTGTCGCTTATTACAACCCATCGCGGAGAGTAGATTCATGGCCGCGATGATGATGGAAATTGTTTACGGCCACACTATGACATCTGAGGACGATGCCTTCGTCAGGGCAGCCGATGAGGCTATCGATGAAACTGTTAAGGTGGGGGCCATTGCGTCCCTGGTATATTTCCTGCCCATACGTGAGTAATGTTTTTGATTGATTGTCGTGAGCTTATATGTAGTTCTGTAGTAAGGCGTCTGCCATCCTGGCTCCCTGGTATGGGGTTCAAAAAGAAAACCTTACGGATACGTCAGCTCGTTCAGAAGACTATGGACGAGCCATTCGAAATGGCCAGGAAGACAATGGTATGCTGTGCTTTACTATCAACCTTGTTCGTTCAAGTTCACGTTTTGGCCAGATTAATGATCATCGTCAATCATGTTTTGTTGCGAGGATCATCTCTTCACAGTCTGAAGGTAGATTACTACTACTAGATCAACTGCTGCTGAAGTACGCTGCTGGTGCCCTTTATATGGGTCAGTCTCTAGAGAAGCAATGTGCGCTGGAAACTAGCAGTACTGACAAACATTCTTCCAGGCGCAGTGGACACGGTAATTGGTACAGTTGTGTGCACCTCGCTGAGTTCTGAAGGTGGTGAATCAGACTGCGACGACGCTCTCCACATTTCTTCTTGCTATGGTGCTTCATCCAGAGGTCTTGCGGAAGGCGCAAGCAGAGATTGACCGTGTTGTGGGAGGCACACGACTGCCAAACGTCGAGGACAGAGCATCCTTGCCATATGTAGACTGCATCATTAAGGAGGTGTATCGGTGCGCCTTTCCTTTTGTAAGCTCCTCCACGTTTAACTTGCGGGGATAGTTGGAACTGTCCCGCTCCGTCTGGCAAGTACCGCGATGTTCCACATTTCCTGCTTACATAGCTAGGTCTAAATATAATTTCCAGGTATACCACATGCAATGTCGAGGGACGAGGTGCTTCGCGGGCACAATATTGCGCGTGGTACCGTCATCGTGGCAAACCTGTGGTCAGCCTCATCCATCCAATTCTACATTGCATGCTCAGCCAAGTGTTCATGTTAGGGCAATGACGCAAGACTCAACGCTGTATCCAGAGCCGGGGACATTCCGCCCTGAGCGCTTTCAGGAAATGGACAGTCATACAGCGGAGCAAGCTGACCCACGTAAATTCATTTTTGGCTTTGGCCGACGGTATGATCCATCTTGCGTCGCTTTCGTAGCCATGTTGACCACCATCGTGCTCCAAGTATCTGCCCGGGCCGGCATTTCGCGGATGTGACCATATGGCTCACTATAGCCAGCATAATTGCGGCCTTCGACATATCCAAGGCTCGTGACGCTGAAGGCAACGAAATAATGCCGCGGATGTTTTTTACATCTGGACTTGTCAGGTCAGTAGGTTCTTTTGGCCTACTTGGGTGCTAGGCTTCATGGGTGACCTTTTGTTGCAGTCTCCCAGAACCATTCGAGTGTGATATACGACCACGTACTACGAATACCCAGCGTTTGATCTCTCAACTCAGTGAGAATCCAGCTTGATGAAGGCCCGGACGAGGACCGGTCGTCTTTACTATCTCATCTAGCTGTCTAATACCATCTACGTGAATGGATGACGATTCACGAGATTACTTGAACGATGCCAGGACGCGGTAATTTCCTGTGTTCACAAGCTATCTGCTATCATTAAATTCTTTCATGCTCTTATATTTTCGAATGGTAGTTATTAGAGCAGCAGCAATGCTGTTTTTACGAAGGAAACGTCAAACAACCCCATAAAGTAATATACCGATAAATGGGGTAACATGGCAAGTTCTTGATATGGAGAAGTACTGAGAAAGACGCCGCACAAACTGTAAGGGCCACAATCTTCGCTAGACCTACCCGAGAATGTTTGTGCGCAAGCGCGGTTGATGCCGCATCAACCGTCAGGACCATGCTCCGACCTGGCTGGACCCGGCGAAGTAGCATCGTCACAGCCACGATTTACTTGTCTCGTACCCATCCCCCCGTATCCGCACCCCACCACCGCGAAAAGGGGGTCTGGGGCAGTTAGATAGGCGCACCCCCCCCCCCCGGA